TAATGAGCTAAAAACTATAGCTCGAATTGTGATAAATGAAAAAATGTCAACCCGCAAGTTAACCCTAACCTGTAAAGGTTGGGTTAGGGTTGGGCTTCATCAACCCATGACCTGTTAGTGACCCAACCCATATAACCCCCAACCCGAACTCGACCCAACCTGCCCGTTTGCCAAGTCTAATTCATTCCTATGAATATAGGAGTCCTAAGCTTAAGAGTTAGACATTTCGATAAGGAACGAAATGGACAGTTGTTTTGAGAGAACCTTGACCTATTTAACGAAGTTAGAGAGGAAGCTCGACTTCCAACTTTATCCTACAAATAGAAACTAGCCAATTTTTACAATAAACGAGTTCGACCTCCAACTTTTAGAGTTGATGACCTTATCCTCAGGAAAGCCGAGCTCATAGGGTTTGAAACTTGTTTTGGCAAGTTAGCCCCAAATTGGGACGGCCCATATACAGTGGTTGAAACCACACCTTGGTGCTTATATTCTTCAAGACATTAAGGGTAAAAAAGTTCTTAGAGTTTGGAATGTTAACAATTTAAAGAAGTTCTATCCTTGAACCTTGAAGTTATTCTAATCTTGATACTAGATCTTGTTATTCAATTTTGCTTGACATTTTTAGTTCATATGTCCGAGATGAATTTGTCATTCTATTGTTTGTCTCTCAAAGCTCTTTGTACTTGATTCATTAATTATAATAAGCTTCACCTCATACATTCGAGGTGAATCTAGATTCCAAATTCGATATTTATCTTATCTTTGTTTACCAAGTTCTTCGTGTTTCAAGTAATAAAATAACTGAATTAAAAAATTAAGTTAAACATAAAAATAATGAATCCAAAAATAAAAAAAATTATACACAACTTTAAAAATTGTTTGAATACAGCTACTCAAATACAAAAAAACCAAAATTACTAACATGAGGTGGCTACTCGATCAACTGATGCTACTGGTCCACCTTTTGCTCCTGCACATTGTCCGCGACCTCGGCATCCCTAACTACCTCCACTTCTTCCTCATCCACTATGACAAATTCAATGTCAAAGTTTGGAGGAAAAACGATGTGACCTTCATTGTCCTAATCTCACTTTAACTTGATGTCAAGATGAAAATTAGCCATCTTGCTATCACCATTCTCCTCAACACCTCCCTTATGATCCCTTAAGGTGATGCTCCTCACATCCATTTTGGGATGCTAAGCCTTCATCTTTTTTCACAGTTAGTGAACATTAGAATTGTAGTAGGTAGTTGGTAGAGGTTCACAATGTTGTCGAACGTGCTGGACTTCATGAACTCAAAGATGTGCCCTTCCATTACATTGTGAGCCCATAGCTCAACACTCTTCTCGAGTTCAACAACGCCCCTCCTTACTTCAGCAATTTCGCTATCCCTCTTGGATAGATCATTTTCATAAATATTTCTTTTTCGATCTGAAAGCTCAACAACCTTCTTCAAAGTGGCATTCTCCCTTTAAAGCTTTTCCAGTTCCAAGGTCAAGTTTGCCACATTTTTCTTGGCTTTGTCCTTCCGTCTACCAAGCTGTTCATTTTCCTTTTCCAATCTATTTTGTTCCTTGAGGCTATCACAAAACTCATTTGACAGCGAATTTAGAAGATTGGCAACATACGTTAAGAACTAAAGTTAAAAAAAAAAAAAAAAGAAAAAAAAGTCCGTTCATCCCATACCTCAAGGACATGATGAATTATTCCTACTCCGCCATGAGTTGCCACCTCGTCCCTTGCCCTTTATTGATCTAGTTCAGGGAACATAGAGTTAATGAGTCTCTCCGCAGCAGTCTTATTGTTGAACTCAAAAAAGTTAGACTATTGAGTTGGAAGGGGAACACAGCTTTTTCCCCTTTCATGGGTCACCATCTTAATCTCCCAAAGTGCTAGGTTGATCTCAACCAATAAAGGGCGAGGCACAAACTCCAACACCTCTTCCCTCCTCTCTTGTCGCTGCTCTTCTATGCTTATTTTCTTTTGAGCGACAACATCGTCCTCAGTTCTTCTCTTCATAGGCTCAACTCTTGGCCTCTCAGTGCTTGGTCTCTGAACTATGGGATCTCGGGTTGATGTGCTGGATGATGAGTTCCAAACTTCCTAGCTAACTTGCTCTTTGACCTTGGTTGCCATGGGAGCCTTGGACTTTTTCTGAAGGATAGCAACACCTCAGCAACGAAAAAGAATCAGGTCATCTCAACTGCAAAACAACTAAAGTTACAATCTTGATCAGAACATAGTTCCAAATAAAATAAAAATAAGACACACACCTCTACTAAGTAAGCATGTTCCATAAAGCTTAGCAATATCAATAACATCTGAGTTGGTGAGGTACATAATATCTATTACACTAGTATCCTCCTTCACCAACTTTTCTACTTCTCTCATCTCATCCTTATTCAAACTATATGTATCCTAATTTCCCTTCTTCGGCTTCCAATTGGTCAAAACCTCCACTTTAGCATCCATCCTATCCCACTCTATGTCATCAACAAAGAAAAGTTTATCTTTCCATCCCTTGATGGAAGAAGGCCCTAAACTAAACAAGTTCCTTTTCTCCTTATTCGACACCTGAGGTGCAAAATAATACCACCCCTTCTCTTTCCTACTCCCTACTTTTATTACGAGAAAAATATCTAAACATGTTAATAGTTGGTAGCCCAACACCTCAAGCTCAGTAATACACAGAGAATGATATAACCACCCAGATTGCATTGGGAATGAGTTGCGTCAACCCTATGTTATAATCCAATAGTAGTCAAACCAACAATTCGAGGATGGGGAACTTGAGCCCAATAGCCAAATAATGGGCATATATAGGCATCTAATGGTTCCTCGGTGCTGAGCACGCCTTTTCTTTAGCTAGCTAGTCTGATCAACACATAAGGTTGAATACCATAAGTGTCAACTAGATGCACTAAGCTGCTCCTATTCTTCCACACAGCTTCATAACCATCACCTCAAAGACAATATTTGCTGATTCATCATAACACTTGTCTCAACACTTTCAGCTTCTAAACTCGTAAAAGTAATATTTACTTCTTCTTTTTCCTCCTCTTCACTTCTTTCCATTCTAAAAGATTCCACTTCTACTCCCTCATCCTCATGCTTTATAACCTTAACCCCTTCACTTCCCTAACACTCAAAGTCTCTTCTGAAGACATATCTTCTGTTTTGTAACTCTCACTGCACGAGGTAGGTGGTGGGATGTAGTCAGGATCTTCAGCAAGCTCAAGCTCAAGCTCAAGCTCCTGTTCTATTTCACTCTCACTCCTAAACCTAACTTCCCTAATAGGACTAAGGTTTAGGTTGAATAACATAAAGGGTAAATCAAATTCTAAACTAGATTCAAAAGATGAGCTCATAAAAGGCTACTTGATCTTGGTTGAGTTGAACTAAAGCACTTGTAGAGAAATTTGAAGTTGGTTGCTTGAGTTGGAAAACAACGAAGCTCGACAGCTATGGTAACTCAGGTAAAATTTTGGCAACACCTCAGTAACAATACAACAAAGTAACAAATTATTTACACAAGTACGACTATATATATTAGTACCTCACAAGCCTCGCAGCCACGATTAACCTCATCTAACAGATGAGATTGCATCCCTCCAAATTCAACAGTTATTTTCTATAACTTGTATTTATTACAGTGCACTCTCCGATGACAGCTGTCAGTTGGCATAATAACCTATTCCCAAACCTCGTAATCAAGCCCAGTTAGGCCAACCCAAGTTCTTTTAACCACTCCAAAATATACATTTTACTATAGTCTTTTATGTTATGAATTTTTACCTCGGTTATGGCCAAAAAACACAACTATGTGTCATAAATTTTTACCTTGGTTACGGCCAAAAAACACATGACTACATGTCATAAATTTTTAGCTCAATTACGGCCAAAAAACATGTTGACTACGCATCATAAATTTTACCTCGACGACGGCTAAAAATCACATACGTGTCATGAATTTTTATCACAGGTACGGCCAAAAAACATGACTACTTGACATGAGTTTTTACCTCAACCATAGCCAACATTTCTTGCACATTTTTATCATGACCACAGTTAACTCAAAACACCCATTTTACTTCAACCCCAATGCACTTCCTAACTCTATCATTCACAAGTGAATGACTCGAGAGGGGGGAATACTGTAAGGGTAGGTGCGAGATCACTAATCTTGGACATATTATGTTTATACTAAGCTCAAAACTCTCCAACTTATTTGAGCTCGAACCACTTAATAGCCAAGCTGAGGCTCAGATTAAGCTCAACCCAATTGTATGATTACTATAGTGAGAACACACTCACCTAATCCCCCATTCTCGAGATCCTCGTTCTTATGGATACGTCAGACCTTGATTATTTTGTTAAGAAGGCCATGTGGATACTCATTAAGATTTATAAATACCCTCGAGAGTCACCTCTTGGAGGTAATTGAAACTGACCTAAAACTTTCTTTCCATTCCTTATTAAGAGTAGACCAGATTATTGCTGACTTAAGCATTAGAGTATCTATCTTGAAAACCAACCTCAAGGCTTTGTCGGTCTATTCGAAGAGAAGATTTGGACCAGGAAGGACTCACTGGTTTATTGCAATTACAGTGTTCTTTCTTTGTTTTATTATAAATTAAAATATTAGTAAAATAAACTATAACAAAGCAATTGATGAAAGACTTAAATACTTGGTAGAAGCTTCATGAATATCCTTGGAGTATTGATTAACCCAAATGGCATCACTAGCCACTTGTACAACAATTTTGAGTTTTAAATATCTTTCAGTCATCCTCAAATCTAATATGAATTTAGTGGTATCCATTGTTAAAGTGTGCATTTTTTAACCAACCTTATTGTATTCGTGATTATGATTATATGCATGGTATTTATTTATTGTATAGGCAAGAGAGGTATGCAATCTCTAGTGCACTATTCTTGTGCAAAATGACTAAAGGATTACCTATGAATCTTCACATACTTAAGATGATAAAGCACATCCACAAATTTGGAGCATTAAAGAAGTTTAGGGTTTACAGATGAGAATTTTTTTAGGCCAAACTCCCTATTCACACCTGTTATACCTTAAACTAAGTCATATGAGAATTAGGACACATGAAGACATTTTAAAAATAGTCTATCAAGATTAGATATGTTAAATCCGACTAAAATTAGAATACCCAAACACCAATCAAATAAAGTTGTACTCTTGGGATAACTTTATGTAAATATCCTATAAATACCTCAAAGATCAACCTAAAGAGGCAGATTATTTTTCTATCACCATTCTCTCTTCACTATAAATTCTCTTTATCAATAAAGATCTCGGTTCCATACTTTCTATTTTTTAGTGTTAACAACACCATACACATTATTATTTTCTATAATCAACATCGATTCTTCCAAATTCACTCTCGATGAATACCCTCTATAATTCAAAAGCCCTAGAAAACCCAAAAGTTAACAATGGAGTCACATGCAAATTACGAGTCCGTTAAAAGTCGTTAGCTCCTTGAACACATGGCGCTATTTCACCTATGTGGCCATCACGTGGACAAAAAGGCAATGACATTGCAAAAATTTTAACTATGTGGCGTCCACCTCATCAGTCATGTCGGTGAGACTTTTCCTGCTCGTCTAGCAAAGAATAAAATAAAAAAGGAAAAATGAAAAAAAAAGTGGACTAAAGAATAAAAAACCCAAAGCTCTATTTTCTATATTGATCCGAAGGAAGATATAGAGAGATAACAGGGCAATTGGGTCAGGGTGTGGGTTAGGTTTCTCTAGAGGATAAGAACAGAGGATATAGATGGGTAGGCTGAATATGTAGTAGTGATTGAATGGAGAAGTTGCATATGCAATTCTGATTAGCCATTTATCAAGGATGGTGGTGAAGGAGAAGTGGTGGGTTTTGCTTGCGCGTGGAATTCAAAACTCCACAATGCCAATTGATATGATAGTGGCAGCCTCGAAACTCGATTTTGTAAGAATTACGCTACGGACACCATCAAGAAGGAGCATCTTCTTTAAACCTGTGCATTGCGTACCTCTCCTGCAAGTCCAACTGGAGGTGACTTCTTAGTCATCTTGAATTTTATTTTGGTTGTAAATTAAACAAATATTATATTTGAATTTTACCTAAAACCACGTGTTTATCATTTTGTAATGTTTAATTGTTAAAGTAGATGGCTTTTAGAATTAGTATTCTAGAAATTATTTGAAGCATTGATGATTATAGTCCTCAAAATTTTGATTTGGATAATTGGAGTATTTGGATAATTTTGTTTTAATAATGGGTTCATTTTTGTGTAGAAAGTTGATGCAAGGATCCTTTGTGAAGCTCACAATGGTAGTGGATGGTTAATTTGTGATTACTGTAAAGTAAAAAAAACCAATGTCAAAGTTGAGAACAACGAGATCTATCGACCATGTCCGTCTTGTAAAGCGGTGAATCATAGATAATAATAATGGAACAAGAAATAATGTTTGGTTTGGAGAGATACCGACGATAACTCTAGTGATTTTTCTTTCTTTGGTTTGGTTCCAACGATTTTTCTTTCCTGGGTGGGAGGCTATGGATTTTCTCTCCTTGGTGGGAGGTGATGAGAGATAGTTTTTGAAGGATGCTCTGAAGGAGGTGAGCGTTGACGGTCCAGGCTTGGCATTCGAGTTCTGGTGGATGGTTATGTTAAGAATCTGGGGATGTTGATGTTGATGTTGATGATAGAAAGCTTTTTTAGTTTCCATACTTGGGATGTGGAGGAGATTGTGGGGTAAAGGGCAGAGTTTCCTTGTACTGGCCATCGAATCTCTGCAGCAATGGATCTTCTAGGGGCGGTGGTGGCGGAGGCTGTGGTTGTTAATTTCTCGACAAAAAATTAGGGTGCAACCAATTTTTTAGGAAGAAATCTTAGGAAAAGATTTGAGTTGTTTAATTTTATTTTGACCTCGTTTGGTATAGCGGTTTTGAGGTAGCGGTTAACGGTTTTACCTAAATCGCTAAATATAGGTGTTTGGTAAATTTATATATTTCGAAACCGCTATAATTAAAGTGTTTGGTAAAATTTTTATTTAGCGGTTTGAAACTAGTGGATAGCGGTTAGGGTCCAAATTGCTAGCGGATTGAAAAAGCTAATTTATGTAGCTTTTTGTACCAAACCGCTAGTAGATTAGAATTTTTTAATTTTATTGATAAATTTATCCATTTTAATTTTTTAATTTGTG